TTTTTCAAAAATAATTTAGGCACCCATGTATACTTCTATCTATCTATCTTCTATATATTCAATTTTGGGTGTGTACGCTTTAACGCTTTTGATTGGTTGTTAAAATCTAAATCTATCCCAAAAATGTTATAGTTATTAGTCATGACACTTGCTAATTGAGTAAACAATGTACCTAAAATCCAAAAACAAAATTGCTTGAAAAAAAAAATGTACAGTCTACCCTCTATATAGTCACCCTCTATATAATCACAAAACTATTATAATCACATCTATCAATTTACTGATTTTTTAAATATGTATTTTACATATAATCACAATTAAATTATAATCACTATCACATATTTTTATTAATGGCCTATATAAATTGTTCTCTTTAAAGTCACACTTTAAATTAACCAATAAGAATTCATGATATATGACCAATCAAATAGATGGGTGTCAGGTAGCAATGTAACATAAACCTGACTAAAGGGGTAATTATATTTCTACCTAATTAGGTTGACATTGACCATTTATCATAATCCCAAACCTAACAACCAATCAATGTGCATAATGATCAAATAGTCCTTTGTTTATTATGATAGTTATTGTAATAGTTGTTGTGATAATGTTGATTTTTGCCCTACATCTATTAGTGACAAGAAGAATTTTTCTGATCAGAAGCTCTAATTGCATCTTATAATTAAAATTTTATAATTTTATTTCTCATAGTTAGTTTATGTAAAATTGTGAGCTAAACCTTTTTTTATAACAAATAAAGAACAAATATCATCTTGAATAATTAAAAACAAAAATAATAACATTATAAATGTTTATAAAATTTATCAATTTTGTTATTTTTTTCTTTTTTACAAAAATCTTGTAATAGAAAATTTATATAAAAATGCTTTTGATACATCACAAAATAGTGAAACTGTTGAGAAACAAAATAAGGAAATAAGGTTTCAAAATAAATCAGTAAATAAAAGTAGAAGTCCAAAATTTGATATTTGGAATTATTTTATCCATAGAACATCTGATGGTAAAGGCTATTATGGTGCAAATTGTAAATACTATATTAAAAAAAAATAGAAATGAGACAGTCCTTTAGTCCTGGAATCCCATTTGGCTTTGCATTGCAAAGGCAATGTTCTTGATAAATAAGATAGTATTAGCTAGTTCAAGTCACAAACCGAAAATAATAATATAAAAAATACCAACTATAGTGATGATAAAAATGCATCACCATTCTCTAAACCTTTTGAATCTGTATTAAATAAGAGAAATAACAAAATTAACAAAGCTTTACTTAAAGCTTTTGTTTGTGCCAAAGTTCCATTTTCTGTAACATTTGTTTGGAATCTTTTTAATATAATTGAACTAGGATATAATCTTTCTAGAAGGCTTACATTAGCAAAGAGGTTGCTTGACAAAAAAATAGCTTATATAACAGTTTAAGCTAATCATTTACTTAACAAAAAACAAGATTTAACACTAGATATATACATATATATACATATGTACATTGTATGTATAATATTTAAATAAAGTTTTGTTTTAGTAAAACTACTGTAATTGTTAATTTGTGTTATATAAAAAAGTTTGGGTTATATAAAATTTTTATTACCAATTCAATAATTATATTGGGGTTAGACTATATAAATACTAGCAAGAAAAACCTTGAATTGGCAAATTTAAGTATATTATTTAATAATACATATATTTAAATTGCCAATTCGAGGTTTTTTTCTTGCTAACACTCATAAAATTTTTGTAATTTATTAATATATGATTTTTTAAAAATTAGTACTCGGCAGTTAGTCCAATCTAATAAATGACTTGTTATATAATTTTATAATTTCTATATCAGATCAAAAAGAACATTTATATACTATATCAGACTTTTCAAATACAGTACAAACAGGAAAATTTCTTACTTCCAAAATTTCTAATATCATTAAAGAAGTTGGCTCTAATAAATTTGTAGCATGTATAACAGATAACAGAAGCAATATTCATGTTGCTCGTAAAATTATGACATTTAATTATTTATATGTTTGGAATATAAGATGTGTTGCTCATATGTTAAACCTTATTGCAAGTGATATAGTAAAAGTTTAGCCTGTTAATCATGTTTTGAAACAGACAAATCAATAGTTCAATTTTTTAAAAAGTTGTATAGAGAAAACCAGCTTCTTTATGATAGTATCAAAAATATAAATTTGGATAGTAGTAGTTTACAAACATACTGTGAAACAAGATGGGCTTTTATTTTTGGAATTATGTTTTTAATAATAAGATTAAAACCTGTTTTTGATAAGGTAAAGTAGTTATATTTTGATATACTATATTATCATACCATATAGTACTATATATAATTTACTTCTTAAACAGATTTATTAAAATATGCTTTAGATTTTTCTTGGATAGAAAATTAGCTACATATCTGTATCTCAGAAATTATATGCAGCATTCTATAGTAATTGAATTTTGATATAATCTAATAATACTGTATATATTTTTTTAAGATTTTAAAGAATAATCAAAATGCAATTAGTAAAAAAGCAATTATTTTAATACTGAATGATGATAATGATACATTTTATACAAATTGTTATCAAATTGTATCTGTTATTCAGCCCATTAAGAGCAATATATAATTTAGAATCTTGTATAGTAAATCTTGTAGATTGCTTTGTTAATATAGTAAACTTTGCTATAGCAATTAACAAAATTCCTACTAATAATAATTTTTATGACTTGATATTGCTATATTTAATAAATGCTATACTGAATTTGATATTGAGCTCTATCTTCTTGCATATTTTTTTTATCCCAGATATAGAGATATAGTGTTTAATAGACAATTCATCTATCATCTGGAGAGGATCTGCAAATTTTATAAGTAAATTTTACTATTAAGCCAAATGTGG